ATCATTCCTGACAGATTTGAGAAATTTCTTTTCCTATTTGAGATTCTTCATAATAAAATGAAACTCTTGCTGACATTTATAAGATCTTTTCTTACTTGGGGCCCTTCCCAGCTCTTATACCTTGTTCATAACCCTTCCTTACTACTTTGAGGAACTTTCAAATCTGTTTGTGATCCTTTCTCATGTATATGAAACTCTTCCTCCCTTTTCTGGATGTTCTTGACAAGCTTGAGTCCTTTCCTATTATGTTTGAGGCTCCCCTTGATGTATTTGAGACTTTTCTAATGTATTTGAGAACCTTCCCTATGTATTTAAGACTCTTCCTGGCATGTTTGAGAGCCTTCATGACCTTTTGAGACTCTTTGCAACATATTAGCAACCTTTTCTTACTACCCTGAGACAATTCCTTACTTGTTTGTGTAACTTTCTGACAAATTTTAAAGTTCTTTCTTATTACTTTGAGAACCTTCCAGTCTGGTTTGAGAGGATTCGTGATGTATTTCAGCTCCTTCCTTTTTCTTTGTGACATGTCTTGTCACTTTTGAAACACATCCAACATAATGAGATTCTTCCTAAGTATCTGAGATTTGCTTACCATGTTTGAAACCCTTACAAAACTGAGGCTCCTCCTGACTGTTGAGATTCTTCCTAATGATGTTCAGGCACTCCCTGATGTGTCTGAAACTCTTTTTGACTTCCATAAGACTCTTCATGACTTGTGTGAGACCCTTCCTGACAAGTTTGAGACTTCTTGACATATTGGGACCTTTCCAACTATTAGAGACTGTTGCTCTCAGTTTGAGACACTTACTGACTTATTTCAAACTTGTCCTAACTAGTTCGAAACTGTTCCTGACTTGTTTGAGATGATTTCTGATGGGTTTGAGACATTTCCTCTCAAGTTGTGACCCTTTCAGACATGTTTGAGACTCTTCCTGATAGATTTGAGAACCCTCCTAATGTATTTGAAACACTTCCTAATTTACCTGGCTATTTAGGGTGATCAGAGACATATTTTTTAAACTCTGCCTGATGAATTTGAGACCCTTCCTTACCAATTTCAGATCCTTCCTGACTTGTTTGAATCTCCTACTGTATTACATATTCCTCTTGACTATTTGATTCTCTTCCTGCTTGAATAAGATGACTCCTGATATATTGGAGACCCTCCCTAACTTATTACTACCTTTCTTAACTATTTAAGACACTTCTCATATTTGAGACCCTTACTCACTTTTGAGAATCTTTTTAACAAATTTGAGATCTTTCCTGATGATTTGATACCCTTCTTTTAGGTTTGAGACCCTTCATGATGTGTTCAAGATGTTCATTTCAGTTTAGAGCCCTTACTGACATATTTTGAAATCTTCCTATGTTGAGATCATTACTGACTTGTTTGAGATGATTTATGATATATTTGAGACACTTCCTCTCTTTTTGAGAGCATTTATGATATACACATGACATTTTCTGATGTATTTGGAATGGTAATATCAAATAAAATAGACTTTAAAACAAAAAAAAAGTGTAACTAAAAATAAAAAGATATATTTATAATGGTAAAAGTGTTAATACATCTAGAATATATGCACCTAACAACCCAAAACATATGAAACAAAAACTGACAGATATTAAAGGAGAAATAGACAAGTCAATAATAATAGTTGGAAACTTCAATAACCCCCATTCAATAATAGATAGAACAATTAGCCAGAAGGTCTAATTGGCAGATGATCAACAAGGAAATAGAAGATTTAACAGCACTTTAAATCAACTAGACTAAACAGACAGCCACAGAACACTCCATCCAATAATAGCAAAATATAAATTCTCAAGTGCACATGAAACATTCTCCCAATTCGACCTTATGTTAGGCCATAAAACAAACCTCAATTCAAAATGATTGAAATAATATAAAATATGTTCTCTAACCACAATAAAACAATATGAGAAATCATAAGTGAAAAATTTGGAAAACTCACAAATAAGAAAATATTAAACAACATTCTCCTAAGTAACCAATGCATCAAAGAATAAATCTAAAAGGAAATTAGAAAATACTTTGAAGTGAAAATGAAAGCACAACATACCAAAACTTATAAGATGCAGCTAAAGCAAGGCACAGAGGGAAATTATAGCTGTAAATGCCTATTTATGGAAGAAGAACTGTAACATAACCATCCACCTTAACACACTGTAAATAAAAGTCCAAACTAAACCTAAAGCAAACAGAAGGAAGGAAATAATAAAGATTAGAGAATAACAATAAAATAAAGAATAGAAAAACAATAGAGAAAATCAACAAAACCAAAAGTTGGTTCTTTGAAGAGATCAATAAAATTGACAAACCTTTAGCTACACTGACCAAGAAATAAAGAGCAAAGACTCAATTTACTAAAATCAGAAATGAAAGAGGGAGTATTACGTCAACCTTACAAAATAAAAATGGATTATTAAGGAATACTATGAACAATAATATGCCAACAAATTAGAGAATTTAGATGAATTGGACAAATTCCTAGAAGGACACTATTACCAAATAAACTCAAGAAGAAATAGAAAATATTAATAGACCTATAACAAATAAAGATATGAATTAGTAATCAAAAACTATCCATAATAGAAGCCCAGGCCCAGATGGTTTTACTGGTGAATTCTACTAAACATTTAAAGAATAATTAATAACAATTTAAAATCAACTTTTCTAAAAAATAGAAGAGAGAATACTTTCCAGTTCATTTTATAAGGCCAATATTACTCTCATAGAAAAATTAGACAAAGGCATCACAAAAAAAGGACATTACACATCGATATCCCTTATGAATATATACCCCCTAAAAACCAACAAATTACTATGAAACTAAATCCAACAATGTATAAAAAGCATTATGTACCATAACTAAATGGGATTTATCTCAGGAATGCAAATTGGTTTAGCATCTGAAAATAAGTTATTCTAATATACCATGTAAATAGAATATGAAACAAAAACTACACTATCGTCTAAATAGACACAGAAAAAACATTTGACAAAATCCAATACTCTTTCATGATAATAACACTCAGCAGTTTAAGAATATAAGAGAACTTCCTCAATCTGATAAAGGGCATCTATAAAAAACCCACTGTTTACTTCACACACAACTGTGAAACTGGATGTTTTCTTCCTAAAGTCAGGAACAAGACAAGTATGTTTGCTCTTGCTACTTCTATTCAATATTGTACTGAAGGTTCTAGCTTGGGCAATTAGGCAAGAAAAAGAAATAAAAGGCATCCAGGTTGGAAAGGAGGAAGTACAACTATCTCTCTTCACAGATGACATGATCTTAAATATAAAAAATCCTAAGGAGTCTATTAAAAAAAACAATTGGAATTAATAGGTGAGTTCAACAAGGTTGTAGAATGCAAAATTAATATACAAAAATCAGTTCTTTTCTATGCACCTGCAATGAACAATTTCTGACCTGTTTGAGACCATTCCTCCCTGACTCTTTGAGACTTTTTCTGACATATTAGAGACTTTCCGTGTGTGTGAGACCCGTTCAGAAGTAGTCATGCACTGCATAATGACCTTTCAATCAACAACAGACCGTATATACAATGGTGGTCCCATAAGATTATAATGGAACTGAAAAATTCCTATCACTTAGTGATGTCGTAGCCGTCTTAATGTCATAACACAACACATTACACAAACACAGTACTTTCCATTGTGTTACAATTGCCTACAGTATTCAGTGCAGTAACATAGTGTGCAGGTTTGTAGCCTAAGAACTGTAGGGGAACTACTACCTTCACCAGGAAACTTCATGAGTTTTCACAATTCAAACCTGGACTTTATAAGTATTTTTACTTTTCTAACAAAGACATTATGGAGTGGATAAATAGATTGGCAAATCTTTTCTATGTCTTTTCCAATGCCGTCTGGAATCAATTTATTAACTATTTCTATCAAGTCATTTGTTTGTACCTCTAGATTCGTGATTTCCATGATCTTTTTCCAGATTTGGTGGACCTCTTGGTAATGAGTGCAAGAGCTCTTCCAAATCTGATTGTTGCACTTTTTAGTAAAATCAACGCAGAATAGACAAAGCAAATAAGTATCAGTAGTCCTAACATTAACATGGGCTGCCATTTTTTGACGATGGAGCACATTTTGTCACAGGTAAGATCCATGCCGTGGATGTTGGTCAGGCAATTTTTGTCCTGAATGTTCTCAGTAATTAGCTTCGATTTTCTAAATGCAACTTCATCATTCTGCAGATCAGCAAGGCTCACTTCAAAAACATGACTCTTGAAGCCATCAGATACAATTTTGATTCCTTGAGTTCTTATAACTAGTTTTTTCCGATATATCTTATATTGAACATAGCTGATGCTTTCGCATCACACCAATCTTTCTTAGAAATTGGATCAGCCACTTTCTTCTTGGCTCCCTTTTTGCTGCCAAGCTGGCGCTCATTCTTGCCAACTGCCACCATGCTGCTCAGAGCCCTTATTTTTGAAACTCTTTCTGACTTCTCCATCCTGACATGTTTTCCACCCTTCTTTACCTATTTGATATTCTTCCTGACTCGTTTGACCTACTTGCTGACATATATGAGTGTCTTCCTGACCTATTTGAGACCCATCCTTATATATATAAGGACATTGAGATTTTTCCTGACATTTTTAAGACCCTTTCTGTTTTGTTTAAGACTCTTTATGATGACATTGAGACCCTTCCTGACTTCTTTGAGACCCTTCCTGCTATGTTTGCAATGCTTTCTGGTGTATTTACAACCCTTTGTGATGTATTTGAAAGTCTTCCTAATTTACAGTCCCTGGTGGAGTCTTAAGGAGAGGCAAAAAGACCTTTAGCCTTAGACTTGCAAGGACCTTTCTTCAAGCATCTAGTTAAAAAATGTCTATGACCCCATATCAAGAAAAATCCATCCATGATTTTTCCAACCCTTGAATGAAAAGTGGAGACTTTTATTGATCTTTTTCTTAATTTTTAATCAAAATTTTCTACAATTCTGCGTAAGCGTCAGTGTTTGTTTGTTTGTTTGTTTGTTTACTGCTCCAGTCAATGAAAGGGAAACTTTATTGAGGCCCCCAGGACAAGGGGTTTGGGCAGGTAGCCGCCCTGCAGGCTGAAAGGCCTTATTTGATCTTCTTCTTGGAGGTAGGTTGTTGATGTGGCCACACTTCTTGCAGCAGTTGACAGCACAGGGATGCAGGTGAGTGTAACACTTGGGGCAGATCATCTTGTTGCAATTGTACTTCTGGGCAAGCTGGCGGAGGGAGGGCTCAATGATGCCACCCTGTAGACAAAGCACCAGGTGCAGGGTGGACTCTTTCTCGATATTATAGACTGAGAGAGTTCGGCCATCCGCCACCTGTTCGCCCACAAAACTCAGACGATGCCAGTAAGGTGGGATGCCCTCCTTGTCTTGGATTTTAGCTTCGACGTTTTCAGTGGTGTCACTGAGCTCGACCTCAAGTGTGATGGTCTTGCCTGTCAGGGTCTTCACAAAGATCTGCGTGTCTGCCTTTGCTGGGGAGACTGCTCCGCCACCTGGTTGAAGAGAATGAGTGTGTCAGTGTTTTTCATTAGAATATAGTTTTAGCTGTTATCTCAGAGAGCCAAAATAATAATGCCTTACATGATAGAAAGCAGTTCATTTCTCCCTCATGTTAACATCTAGGTATATGTAGTCCAGGGCTGCTCTGTCAACACCATGGTGGTTCCCAAGCTCCTCTGTCTTATGGAACTACCATCCCTGGGTCCTTCTGTCTTATGAAACTTCCATGCCTGGGTAAAGCTTGGTCCACATGGCCCAAGAAGGCTCATTAGCACATCCCTCTTCCAGCCAGGAAGAAGGAGAAAGGGGGTAGCACTCTGCCTTTTTAAGGACATAACCTACAAGTTGCACATATTAGTTCTGCTCACAAATGGTTGACCAGAATACAGTCACATGACCATACCTACCTGTGAAAGAAGCTAGATAATACGGTCTCTATTCTGGGAAGCCATTTTACTTTCTTAAATTCAGGGCTTATATTACTACAAGAAAATGAACAAAAAGAGTATTGAAGAAAAATTAGCAGTCTATTCATAGCCTCCCATTTCGAAACTTAGAAATTTTTTATTTGAACAAGAAAAAAAAAATCCCTTCTCCGGCAAAAGAAAAAAAATGGAATTGTTCCCCCTTTTCTTTTCCTTAGCTTAGTAGCTCTCACAGAAGAATAGTTTTTAATTCTAAGCAAAGAAAGCCAAAGGGATAAAAGTTTGCTGAAAACGAATTTATTTGTAATCAAAAATGCCTTCGGCTATTACAATAGTACCTAAAGACCAACCTGAATTTTGTAACTGAGTGTCTGTGCATATAAAAGCACAGAACATTTTGAGATGCAGAATAGTATTAGATCGCCAACTAGACCATACGTAATTTATACATTAGATACCTGGGAACCACATAGGTCAAGAACAAGTAATATACCAAATCTCAGTTAGAAAAAATTCTCCAAACATTGTATCTGTGAATCAGATTTAAAGCCTAATAACAGTTCTGAGAATTGAATTAAGATGCAGGGAAATCCCTTAGTGCTTGCATAAAATTAAATGCACATTATTCTTGATTTTTAAAATATGCGAAAGATACAACAATTAAAATAAAAAATAAATAAAAAATAAATAAAATATGCAAAAGAACAGCTGATCGAATTAAGTTTAAATCTCCACAATCCAGTCATGGGGGCCAATTAGAATTGAACTCCATATCCAATGCCCTATCTTTTGGTAAGACTTTGAGGTAAGACTCCCTTATCAGGGGGTGGCTCCATAGTGTAATGGTTAGTTAGCACGTCTGCTTTACACGCAGAAGGTCCTGGGTTCGCACCCCAGGTGGAGCCACGGACCATACCACGGGGGGCCCAGCCCCAGGCCCCAGGCCCCAGGCCGGGGGTGCACACACAGAGCCTGTGGGAGGAGACATTCCGCCTTCAGAGATCCAGTCCTTAAGGGGAAATGGCAACATCCATAGGTCAAGGGTGGAAGTGAGGTGGGGAGGAAGAATTAAAGAGGGAAAAAAAAGACTCTCTTATCAGAGCTTGACAAGGTAGTGACTTTACACACTGGGCCCCAGGTTTGTGAAATATGGTCAATGCCTTAGCTGTTTTTGAAAGAATTCTCTGAGGTATCTGATTCCAGGACACTTGAAAAAAGACAGCACATGCTAGAAAGAGAGTCAGGGAGCTAGTCCTACTTGGAGGTAAGAGGGTGAGACAGGACACTGGGGTGCCCCAGATCCTTTTGGTAAGGTACAGGTAGGGGGGAGGGTCAAGCTGGGCATTGCCAAGAAGCCACAACAGAGCTTTTCCAGGGTAGAGCCAAGAGCCCGAAGCCTAGAAATTAACTGGTTTAGAAACTGGCAAGGTAACTTGACCATTGACCTTCACCAAGTACTTGTCAGTGACTTTGGTCAGCTTTTACAGGCCCAACCATACACCTGCCAACCTCTCTCCAGATAGTGCCTTAAAGGCTCCACAGATGACGCTTCAGCATTGAGCTCTCTTGGATGGATTCTAATGAATTAGTTGGGCATTTTTCTGTCTTATTGGGAAACGAGTGGTCATGTGCAGTCCCCTTGAATTTGAATATATGGATGCAAATATGTGTTTTTGAGCATTTAGAATTTTTATTTCATATTTATTGAAAGAATTATTTCTTTTGGTCTTATTTAGACATTTGTTTTCTATCCTATATCACTTTTGGATATACATAAAAGGGAAAATTATATAACAGAATAAATTGGTGAAAGTATTCCTGAGACAGCTTCACATTCAAAATCCCACTTTTCTGAACCAACTTTTAAAATTGAGGTATAGCATACATACATTAAAGTATGTAAGTTGCACTAGTCCTAAAATTGATCTTCACATATGTGGTATCTTTTATATGTGGCTTCTAAAAAAACCCAAACTTGTAAAAGCAGAGAGTAGAATGGTGGTTATCAAGGCTGAGGAGGTGGAGAAATTGAAGACATGTTGTTTAAGGGTACATACTTGCAACTAGTATATAAATAAGTCCTGGAGAACTCATACAGAGTACAGTGATTATAGACAACGAAATTGTATTATAAACATTAAACTTACTAAGAGATTAGATCTTAATTATTCCGAACACTAGAAGAAATGATAATAATGTGATGTAATAGCAATATTAGCTAACACTACAATGGCAATATCAATGTATCAAATCCATATGTTAAACACCTTAAACTTACACAATGCTATATATCAAATATATCTAAGTAAATAAAATAAATTATATATATACACATATATATTGATAACCAAAGGATATAGAGCAACTGGAATTCTTATACATTGTTGATGGGAGTATAAATTGATAGTCACTTTGAAAAACAGTTTTATAGCATCTACTAAAGTTAAACATATGCCTACCTTATGACCCCGCAATCCCACTCCCGAGTATATACCAAAGAGAAGTGAGTGTGTATGTCCACCAAAATACATGTATAAGAATATTCATAGCAGCACTATTCATACTAGTCAACATTGGAAATGAACCAAATGTCCATTAACATGAGAATGGATAAATACATTGGTGGTATATTTATACGATAGAATAACACAAAGCCACAAAAAAATAACAAATTACTGAGACACACAATAATATGGATAAATATCACAGATATTATGATGAGTGAAAGAAACCAGACACAAAAGAGTACATACTATGTGATTCCATTTATATCAAGTTCAAGAACAAACAGAACTAATAGATTATGATAGAATTAAAATAATGATTACCTTTGGAGAAAGAGGTTGTTGTTAACAGGTTCGGTAAATGCTCATTGTGAAATGAATAATGTTGCCTGGACCTCTTTTCCCCCATGTATCTGCATAACTAACTCTCTCACCTTTAAGTCTTTGCTTAAATGTCACCTAGTCAGTGAGGCTTATCCTGACCACCCTATTATAAATTGCAATCCACACTCCCTAACTCCTGATCCTTTTTATCTTCTTTTTTTTACTTTTTTTTTTTTTTTTACTTATTCTATTATATTTCTCACCTTCTAGGATACTCTAGAATTTACTTATTCATTATATTTTTTTGCTTACTACCTTTGTCTCCTTGCTAGAATGTAAGCTCCACATCCAATTGCTGGTCTGTATAGGGAATATAAAGACCCAGGCCACTCACCCCAATTCAGGGCATCACAATAGGCTTATCCCCACTCCAGAGCTCCCCATGGGATCCACTGAGGCCTCGTTACAACTATATCCAAACCCAACTTTTCCTTCTGCCCGATCGGGCTTCCCTCACTCCCCAAAGGTATTGATTTCCAGGGAACTTCCCAATAAATTTCTTGTATGTAAAGTACAGTCTCACAGTCTGTGTCCTGGAGTACCTGAACTATGACACTGTCATTTACTGAAACAGAGACCAAGGCAAGATCAGGTTTACTGGGGAATGGTCATGAGTTCATATTTGGACATGATACCTTTAAGGCAACTTTGCCATATCTAAGAAATATCAAGCAGGCAGTTGCATATATGAGAAAAGAATAGATTTTTCCCCCCTCGATCTGCTCACAATATAATCAGGAAAATAAGACATATTCTCCAATAAAAAATCCATTATACCACATAAGATTATAGGTGAAGTGCTAACAGGGTCCAGGAGAGATCAAGAAAGACCTGGGGAAGATGACTTTTTTTTAATGTGATCACTGAAGATGGAGGCAGAGGCGGAGCAATGTGAGCTAGGCCTGAAGATAAAACACTTGGAGCAAACAGAGGGAGGAGTGAGCAATTTAGTTTGAATAGGTCAGGTGTGCAAAGGGACTCAGTGGGACACAAGGTTAAGAAGTGTCTTAGGGTTCTTCGGAGAAACACAACCAATAGGATATTGGCAAGTCCAAAAACTGCAGGGTGGGCCAGCAGGCTGGAGACCCAAGAGAGCCAATGCTATAGTTCCAATCCAAAGGCCAGTAGCCTAGAGATCCAGGAGAGCCTATGGTGCAGTTCTAGTCTGAAGGCTATCTACAACAGAAACAAGACCAATGTTGCAGATGAAGTCTGAAAGCACTCTGCTAAAGAATTCTCTCTTGCTTGGGGGAGGCTGATCATTTTGTTCTATTCAGGCGTTCAACTAATTGGATGAGGCCCATCCATATTTACAGAACAATGTGCTTTACTCAATGTCTATCAATTTCAATGTTAATCTCATTCAGAAACACTCTCATAGAAACACACAGAATAATGTTTGACCAAATATCTTGGTACCCCATGGCCCAGCCAAGTTGACACATACAATTAAGCATTACAGGAAGGTAAGGGCCAATTGAGGAAAAATTTTGAATGCTAGTGTTTAGGCTATGAAAACCACTAAAGAGTTAGAGGCCAGAGGATTTGAATGAGGGAGTCTAGAGGTAGAGAGAGAACTTAAGAGACTACTGTGATCATCCAGGCAAGACAGAAAGCGGGATAATAACAGTGAGCCTGGAGGGGAGGAAACAGAGGCAAGTAATATGGAACTGACATGAC